ATGAACACCTCAATCAGGAGTCTAACCTAGGAACCATTTTCCCCTTCCATTATTCAACAAATCCTAAATTTAAACTACACAATAAAGGAATAAGAGAAAACAGAAACAACACCAGAGATTTATACTGGTTCATCCTAAGCACGGGCTACGTCCAGTCTTCCGCGATGTGCAGGTTCTACTATGATGAGAAAATTGCAATGGGGTCTCATAAACGCTTTATAAAGCTCTCTTTAGATGCCTTCAACAATGGCCACCTAACTTCTATGCACTACAATAATAGGTACTTAGGAATATAAAGAATGAAAAACCTCGCCGAGACACGAGAATAGGTTGTCGGTGACGCACCACAGCCTGAAAACTTGTTCTCCCTCTTTTTTTTTTGCTCAAAACGGCTGCCTAGAAAATTCAACCACTTAAAAAAACCTAAAACACTAAAATTGGCATTTTTATAAATCGTAACAACGCAGATGCTGTCCGTGGTGTAGCGGCGCTACGAATTTTAAGTTCACTTAGCGCCCATGTTGTGACGCCCTGCAGCTCGGCCAATATGGTCATGTCCTCTATGCCAATATGACCCTATAGTCTGCTTCTTTGATCCTCTTTCATTCTTGTTTCATCTCGACTCGATTCGACATCCTTTTGACTCCATATTCCCAACAGTTACATGGGTCAAGAGTGAATAGCTTTGTTTATTTATGAATATTGCATATAAGTGAGTTAGATGGGACATTAAGACTAACCCTTTAGTTCAAGGATGGAACTCTTAAAAGGAAGATTTATTTCAATTCCTTTATCGATAATAATAAAGAATGAAAAAGTAAGAGAAACCGCCTTAAGATTTTTGTTTTTTAGTACAACATGGATGGGTGATTGAATTTACAATCTCGTAGATATATGTTAATTACCGCTGAGCTATGCTCGTTTTGACAAGATTTTTTTTTTTTTTTTGTTAATGCATATCTTCAATGTAGTAACTCTATTTAGCAAAATTTTACATCATATATATCATAGCAGATGTTAAATGTGAGTTGATTTTGATATTTTAAATAGCATAAATTTGACCTTTATTATGATGCTTTACCATATATTTGAGTTTGATTTCAATTTGGATTATGTTATTTTTTGTAAAATTTTAAACAAATAAATTAGCATGCTAAATTCTAGAAAAAACTTCGAACAAAGACATTTTTGTAAATAGTTTAGAAGACAATCTTTTTTTATCATAAATCTTATCTTTTAAAAGAATTTTTAAAAAATAAGATGCTAGATGTTGAATTTCTTAGAATTATTTATTCAAAAAATGACCTCATTAACCATTGAATGAAAAAATAATTTTATATTTTATTTAATAAGATTCTTATTTTAGATGTCAAATTGCCATTTTTTTTTTCTTGAATTTAACTTCAACTTGTTCTCTATAGAAATTTTAAAAGTTTTAACAAAAGGTGAAGGAAATATTGAAACTTTTGAAATGATACGAGTAATTTTAAAGAAGGGTCGTTTTTTTTTCCTCCTTTTCAACAGACCACAAAGCTAATTAACGGTATTTTCTGTAGCCTGTCCCCACCTTATACTCACTGCCAAAACATTTAAAAATCTCTTTGATACTTTACAATCAGACACCAAAATCTACAAAGCAACATTATTTGTTTGGAATATATGGGTTCTTCGTTTAGTGGATTTTTCAACTTTTTTTGGGAAGATAAAGAGTTTGGAAAAGTGGAAAGTAATTAGAAAAGCAAGGTAATTTTGTTTTCTTTAATTCGTTTAAAGTAGGCTAATCTCTAATATTTGGGAGGTTTTTGTTTTTTTTTTAATCTTTATTATTTAGAGATATTCAATTTATACTCAGCTCATATCTTTAACATTTTCCAATTTAGTTTCTCATGGTTAGAATGGTAAAATTGACTTATGAGATTTAAAAGTCTAGATCTACGTGGTTCAAGTTTATTTGATAATTAGAGTTCATGAGTTCAAATCTCCCGTTTCTGTTTGTTTTGTACTAAAAAAAATTTATTGAATAAATCATCTTGTTTTCAACATTTTGCATTTTAATATTATAATTATTTACTTCAAAACGTTGAAATTGATATTTTATAAATTTTAAAGAGAATAAAATTTAGAAATATTTTTTGGTGTATTCTCAAACATTTTTTTGATTTAGAATTCTATTATTAGAAATTAAATGGTTGTAGTTGAAACTTTATAAATTTTAAAGAGAATAAAGTTTTAATTTAATCAATATTTTAATATATTCTCAAACAACAAACTTGTTAATTTCATAACATACTCGACAATTCGTTGACAAAATGCAAAATCTAGTTGTTTTAGAATTTCCATCTTTTTAGTAATTCTGTCTAATTTTATTCTAATTTTATCTAATCTCTTTTGATCTGTTTTGATTTAACATGTTTGTTGCATAGCATAATATCTTTTTAACTCAATATGCAATGAACAAGTACTAAATAGTTCAATAAAATCCTACGTTATTTATGCCTAACTACTAGGTCAAAATTTGTAGTAATAATAATAATTAAAAGAGATTAATATTAGTTGAGGTGTAAAATTGACTTAAAAGGATTACAAAATTCCCACTAATATTTTAGCAAAGGGATACATGGATGGTTTAAAATAAGATAGAATTATGGTGTACTAGCCACACACTTTGTGTGATGCTTTAAGTCAGAATCTGAATTTTTATTTTTATTTTTTAGTAGAATTGGAAATTCTGTTATTCTATTTATAGAGTGAGAAATCATTCATTTTTAGTTCTTCCTTTTGAATTATTTTCCATCCATGAGCAATTGGGGCTTATTTTTGAAATAATCCTTGGGAGTGTTAGATATTCAATATATGAATTAAATTTACTCAATCCATTAGCTTAAGTTTTTGGATTATGTGGTGGTTTATTCATCTTAGTATCAGAGTGGGAGATCCTGTATTCGAAATCGAACCGATCAGGCAAAGTATTGAGCTTGTCGACTCGATTTAGCACCTAGGTGCCAACACCAACCCATGGGTGGACTATCCTTGGCCTCGACATGGCACCAGCTTGTGAGTTGGTCGGCCTTGGTCAGGTGTCTCGGCGCGGGGCCTAGCGTCATTGCATCGGTACCAGCCCATGGGTAGGCTGTTCTTGGCCTAATGCCAAGGTGCTAGCCCACGAGCTCGTCGGCCTTAGCCTAATTTAGGTGCCAACTCCACTCATGTTGGTTGTTGTTGCCCTTGGCCCTCGGGGCGTGATCCGTATGTCACTTGTCTTGAAGAGTTCATCCCCGAAGTTCTACTCTTTGGACGATTTTAAGGTTCTTAAGCCCTAYTTATCCCAAACTGTAAATTGGTAATTGATTGTCAAATTAAAAAGATTTCAGTTTTGAAAACTTTGAAAACTCAATTASCAAATCAACAAAAATTCTYCCATATCTWAATATTCCAATAACAGAATTCASKCAAATCTTMTCAAAAAAGRAAAAAAAATCCACGTAAATCAACTTAAATGCTCCATATAAATGTATTGATATTAAAAAAAAGAAAAAACAGAAACATTTTTTTTTAATCCCCCGTTTTTTCTTTTTCTTTTCTTTTTCTTTGATTTTTTTATTTATTTATTTTTAATCCTTTATTTCTGTTTTTTCTTTTTCTTTTTTCTTGAATTTTTTTCTTTTTTTGTTAACGTGGAGTATTTAAGTTGATTTACGTGAATTTTTTTTGAAAAGATTGGCATGAATTCTATTATTAAGATATTAAGATATGAGAGAATTTTTGTTGATTTATAATTGATTTTCAAATTAAAAAGATTCATCATTTCAATTTTTGAAAACTCATTAATTTTTTTTCTCCCTCTCTCACGCTCTCTTTGTGGCTCTCTCTCCTCTCCCTCTCGTTCTCTTTTTCGCTCTCTCTCTTCTCTCTCCTCTCCCATTTTCTCTCTCCTCTCTCGTTCTTTTTCTTCCTCTCTCTTCTTGTTTTTCTCCCTCTCTCTTCTCGTTTTCTTGTTCTCTCCCTTTTCGTTTTGTTGTTCTCCCCGCGAATGCATACTAGGCCATAAACAATTTTCTATCCTTACTGCACAATCCAAATAGCGTACTTCGTTGGTCAAAGAATACCCAAAAGTTTTTTCGAAAAAAAAAACCGAAACAAAGGAGAGAGGTAGAGAAAAATCTAAAAAAATTTGTTTATTTTAATTTTGAGAAAATTTGAAGAAAGAGAAAATTTGAAATCCATAAAATTCTAAAAGTTTTGAAGGAAAAAAAAGAAGTTTCTCCGTAAAAATCTAAAAAATTTGAAAAGAGAGAAGAGGAGAGAGAGAATAGAGAAGAACCACGAAGAGAAGAAGATGAAGAATGAGAAGAGGGAGAATGAGAGAGAATATGAGATTCAAGTGAGAAAAAGAGGGTGAAATAAAAATGGTATGTTAGTCGAGGGATATAGCAGAAATTTGGAATGGAGGTGATGTCAGTAAATGTTTAGAAAATATAAAAATGAGGGGAGGAGCCATATTTCAAAATGGTTTTTTTGAGAAATGCTATTTARTCCAATTTTCCAAAAAAAAATAAAAAACAAACTACAGGTACAAAAATCCAAAAATGACAGTAGAGTTCCTAAATGCTTTAATTAGTAAATTGAGTACTTAATAGTCTSTTCATTGAATTGATTGAGATTTCATATATGATATCGTCCCCTTTTGGTTCAATTAAAAATATCTCAAACGAATAAAAATAATTGTCTTTCATCTATCCTATATTATTCTATTTTCTAATCAATGTGAAATTTTGTTTGTACTCTCTGCCTCTCTAACCAACACTGTAGGACATTAATGATTGCCCTCCCAATACTTATATTACCTTTTTAGTTCGATAAGTATTACTAACACTTAGTATATATGGTAGAAATTCGAACCTCCATCGAACAACAAAAAATGGTTGTCGCTTCCATAAGTTGGATGGAGATTTAAAATCTATAAATTCTTATAATACCCCTTCGATACCATATTCAAAATACAATTTTTAAATTCTCTCACAGTGTTCGATCCCTCGAATAATTTCTTCCAATTTGAATATGTTTTTTCCCTTGAATGGAAAGTGAACGTAGCTTGTGGTGGTCAATAAATGCCATTTATTTCAACTTGATTCTTTTTAAGTTCTCTCTAGAGCCAAAGGAGTCGAGGGGAGAAAAAAAAATGAGAGAAAAATGGAGAGTTTACCCCACAGAGCTGAAGAAGGTGAGCCTTATAGCAGCGCCCATCACCACTGCGTTAGTTCTTCAGTACCTTCTGCAGGTCGTCACCGTCGTCATCGTCGGCCATCTCGGCGACGAGCTCTTGCTCTCCGGCGTCTCTATCGCCACTTCCTTCGTCCGTGTCACCGGCTTTAGCCTCCTCGTAATCCTTCCCCCTTCTTCCAACCTCCCCATTTTTCTACAATATTATCATATTTCAATCTCCCTACTGACTGTCACTAAAAATTTAGGGCGTGTTGGTTACAGTTTCTTGTTTTTCGATTCCAATTGTAACTAAGTATATTTCTTATTTTTCCTTTTCTTTTTCTCACATTCTCATAATTGTATARAAGTTTTAGAAACAACCAAAACAAATTTCTTATTTTTGTTCCTGTCCCCAATTTGTTTCATAGCGTAAATAAAATAATTTTTTATCATACTTGAATTATTGGATGTTCGGGATTTTTCTTTATTAAAAACGAACAAACAGAAACGTTATCAAACGAGCTCTTGAAGACTGAACAACTCATTGTTCGTCTTATTGCAGTTGGGAATGGCTGGAGCTTTGGAAACTCTATGTGGGCAAGCATATGGGGCAGAGCAATATCAGAAGCTTGGAGTTTATACTTACAGTTGTATGATTTCTCTCATTTTGGTCTGTTTCCCAATCTCTGTGCTGTGGTTCTTCACAGACAAGTTACTAATTTCCATTGGCCAAGACCCTTCCATTTCTTCTGTGGCCAGAAAATACTCAGTTTTTTTAATTCCAAATCTGTTTGCGTGTGCAATTCTTCAGTCTCTTCTCCGCTATTTCCTCACTCAGAGCCTCATTCTTCCTCTGCTCTTCAGCTCCTTTGCCACTCTCTGTTTGCATATTCCCATTTGTTGGCTTTTTGTGTTCCATTTCAAGCTTAGGGTTGTGGGAGCTGCTTTGGCCCTTGGTATATCCTATTGGCTCAATGTCATTTTGCTTGCCTCTTATGTCTTCTTCTCTCCATCTTGCAACAAGACTCGGGCCCCGCTCTCGAGGGAGGCCATCTCGAGCATCGGCCAGTTTTTTCGTCTTGCTGTCCCCTCTGCCGTGATGGTTTGGTAAGATGGTTTTTAATTTGTTCATTGTAGTTAGCTGTATTTTGCTTTTAAATTTTGTCTGTTATAGTTTATGTACTTAAAATAGAATAATTGAAGAGGCCGACCTGAGCATAGTTTAATAGGTTAAGACATCTATGTCCGTCCCCGACCAGAAGGTCGTGACTTCAAATCTCCACCCCACATATGCTAAAAAATAGGGAGAAATTGAAGAGAGAGTATTAAAAGAAAAGAAAAAGAAAGGAGAATAGAGAGCCACGTAGGTGAGAGTGGGAGAGAGCATAAATAGAAAGAGACAAAGAATAGAAAAGTGAATGCAGTATGTTGAATTCTTTTTTGCTTCGGTAGTAAGAGTGACATAAATAAAAAGAGGTAAAAATAGAAAAGTGAATGCAGTATGTTGAATTCTGTTTTGTTTATTTATAAAATGTATAGGTCCGTTTGCTTTGGTAGTGGGAGTGAGAGAGATCATAAATAAAAAGAGAAAAAGATAGAAAAGTGAATATGGTATGTTCGAATTCTTTTTTGCTTCAATAGTAAGAGGAGAGAAAACATAAATAAAAAGTGGGAAAAAATAGAAAAGTGAATGCAGTATATTGAATTTTGTTTGTTTATTATAAAATTTATAGGTCGGTTTGCTTCAGTAGTGAGGGTGAGAGAGATCATAAATAAAAAAGAGAGAGAATGGAAAAGTGAATGCAGTATGTTGAATTATTTTTTGCTTCAGTAGTAGGAGTGACATAAATAAAAAGAGGTAAAAATAGAAAACTGAATGCAGTATGCTGAATTCTGTTTTGTTTATTTAGTAAAATTTACAGGTTCGTTTGCTTCAGTAGCGAGAGTGAGAGAGATCATAAATAAAAGAAGAAAAAGAATAGAAAAGTGAGTGCAATATGCTGAATTATTTTTTTGCTTCAGTAGTGAGAGTGAGATAAAACATAAATAAAAAGATGAAAAAACAGAAAAGTGAATGCAGTATGTTGAATTATTTTTTGTTTATTTATGAAATTTATAGGTCGATTTGCTTCAGTAGTGAGAGTAAGAGAGATCATAAATATAAAAGAGAAAAAGAATAGAAAAGTGAATACAATATGTTAAATTCTTTTTTGTTTATTTATAAAATTTATAGGTYGGTTTGCTTCAGTACTGAGAGTGAGAGAGAGCATAAATAAAAAGGTAAAAAGAATAGAAAAATGAATTTAGTATGTTGAATTCTTTTTTGCTTTAGTAAGAGTGAGAGAAAACATRAATAAAGAAAGGAAAAAATATAAAAGTGAATGGAGTATGCTGAATTTTATTTTGTTTATTTAGTAAAATTTATAGGTCGATTTGCTTCACTGCTGAGAGTGAGAGAGATCGTAAATAAATTGAGAAAAAGAATAGAAAAGTGAATGCAATAGGCTCAATTCTTTTTTGCTTCAGCYGTGAGAGCGAGAGAAAACATAAATAGAGGAAAATATAGAAAAGTGAATGCAATATGCTCAATTCTTTTTTATTTTGTTTTATTTTTATTTTTTTCTAAAATGTATCCATCAGTTTGCTTCAACAATGAGAGTAAGAGAAAACATAAATGAAATGAGGAAAAAAAAAATAGAAAAGTGAATGTAGTATGCAGAGTTCTTTTCTATCGTTCATTTGCTTCGCTTCTGTATTGGACAAACCAACTAACCAAAATCGACGCCGATCGATCGATGTTAATTCGGTCAATTTTAACCGGTCGATTAATTTTCTGATTTTAATTGTATATCCGTAAAAGAAATCCTTTAGTAAAAATTTTAGTGTCGTAGTGTCATAGAAAAATGAGAGATAAACAAGAAATTAAGAAATTTAAAAATAAAAATCTAATTAGAGATTCGAAGAGTAGAGAGAAATGACATGTTAAGGGATGAAAACAAATTGAGAAGATTATTTAAACCATTTTGGGTTTTTGCAGCCTTGAATGGTGGTCTTATGAGGTCATTCTGTTGCTGTCTGGGCTTCTTCCAAATCCCAAGGTGGAGGCTTCTGTGCTATCTATATGGTATATATTTGTGTGCTTTTCCAATCTCGTCAGGCTGTTGGAACTTCAATTTTCAACACATAATTCTAACTTTTCAACCCTCTTCGGTGGGGATTTTTTGGCAGTTTCTCAATCACTTATTTGCATTATTTCATACCATATGGGTTGGGGGCCACAGTAAGGTCAGTTCTAAGCTCATAAATCTTCTTTTATTCATTCTCTTGAAGAAATATTTGTTCTTTTATCCTTCAACGAAAAGATATATATATATATATATATATATATATATATATATATATCTTAGTCTATTTTTTGAAAGGTCCAACTAAACGACGCCTTAATTATCTTCTTAAAAAAAAAATTCACTCTCAACAAATAGTGGTGAAACTAATATCTCATCAACTTGAAAACATTTGAACTTGATAACAAAATTAAACGAGTAAAACAATGTCTCAAACTCAATAAGAAAACGGGTCAAACCTAGTTAAAGGATACCAAACACGACTAGAAGAACTAATACCCACCAAAATAATTAATCTTGTCCAACCACAACCATGCTCGTCGTATCTACTATATATATATATTTTAATGAAAACTTGGCTAATAAAGAATATTAATTTCACAATTTATTCAAAATTATAATTCAATTGGGTGAAATTGAAAGCTTGAAGTTAAATTGACTTGATCATTTAAAAACTGTTTTTTTCTCAAAAATAGTTTGAGAAATGATATAAACTAACCCGATGAGAAAACAATATATACCTTCTTAACATTTCTGTTTTTCATTTTTCATTTCTAATTTTATTAAGAAATCTAAGTATTTTATAACTAACTATGTTTCTTATTTTTTCTTTTTTTTGGAACTTTTTCAAAGTTGTTTAAAAATTTTGAAAACAAAAATTAAATTTATTTATTTTTTTGTTCCCATTTCAAATTTATTCCAAAATATAAATAAAAGGATTATGTTATCATACTTTACTGGGACCATGCAATTCATTTTTCTTTATTAAAAATGAGGAAACAAGAACACTAATGGTGATGTTATACAGTACAAGGGTTTCAAATGAACTAGGAGCTGGAAATCCAGAGGCAGCAAAAGTGGCAGTGAAGGTAGTGGGAGCTCTTGGAATCATAGAATCAATAACTGTGAGTGTGATTCTCTTTGGATGTCGCAATATCTTAGGCTATGCCTTCACCAATGACACCCAAATTGCCGATCACATTGCTTCTATGTGGCCTTTGATTTGCCTTTCCATTCTCATAGATACTTTCCTTGGCATCCTTTCAGGTAAAATCTCTCAATATCTCAAGCATTCAAATGGTTAATAACTTTTGTCTTGGCATCTAAAATTTGAGTAACCAATATTGACATTACATGTTAATAGTTGAATCGAGTTGTTTGTGACGACATGGATTCAATTTGACTAAAATTTAGGTTTAATTTGTTGGAAAGAAATATAGACTAATGGATCTCGTGTGAGTTCTTCATATTAACAACATTCATGAGGTTTCATCTCAAAATTAATCGATGATGAGAGGAGTAGTCCACTTATATTATAAACTCTTGTTAGGTCAGTTATCTTATCAATGTAGAATTCTTAACGTGACTTCTTAAGATCGTGGTTGTTTTGGCTCATTGATCTTGGCCAGATCCAATTTTTGAATCGGATGCTCGTTTGAGCTTCTTTAGCTCTTATACCATGTTAAGAATGAATAAAGCACCACTCAACCTAAAGTTGGTTTATTCATCTTTAATATGGTATCAGAGCATAATGTACTTCTGTGTTCGAACCTCTGCATTGTTGTTTCCTTCATATTTATAATGATTTCCGCTTGTTGGGTTTTGTGCAATTATCCAAGCCCATGAGGGAATTGTTGAAAATCCATATATATCAATTAAATTTAGCCAACCCATCAGTTTAAACTTTTGGGTTGAGTGGTGGTTTATTATACTTAACACTTTTCGTACCTGACCTATTTGATTTTCTCCTTTCTAACGACAAAAGCAGATAAGATAAGAAGTAAGTAACAATATAAAAGGGAATAAAAGATATCGAAAGGTTTAGTACTAAAGGGTTTATATACTAATTCATCCTATTTTGGGACTATGTCTAATCTTTGGTGAAAACAAGTTCTATTATATTTGATTGTAATTAAACATTTCTTTCTCTTTACAAAGGTAGCTCAAGAATATCACCTACAATGACCATCTTGTTCTAAGTACCCTACACAATTAAAATATTTATAAGAAGCAATATCTTAATCCTTGTAGAAATTCGTAGTAGTGTTGAAAATTATTTTTTCATAGGACACGAGTCTCCTGTTTTGAGTACATTCCTAGCAAAATTTCTATTCATTCCCCATGACTTAGATTTAGTTTCAACTTTGGTTACCATTGTTTTGTTAGATCTCTTAGGATGCATTTGATTTATGATTTTCCTGTCCAAAACTTTGGAGGAATTTTCATGTTGAGTATGAAGGACTCCAATTTTCATGGATGAAGGACTCCAATTTATGAGGTATGCAGTTGTAATTACAACTTCTCCCAAATTTGGCATTTGCAAGCAAGCATCTCACCCTCTTGAGCAACTTTGCTCGAACCTTATTACTAGGCCGTTCTGTTGTGGTGTATAGGGAACATTGTGATGTCTCTTAATTTCTGTCTTCTTACAAAAATTTATTCAAATCCATTATCGGTCCCCGAAACCTTTATCCTTCAACCGTTTGGTTTTCAACTAAAGTTTTCGATTGAGTAAAAATTTCAAATGCATCACTTTTGTTTTTCAAACATATTTAAATCCACAAATTCCTTGAGTAATGATTAATCAACTTCCTCTAAATCGAAAAAATAGTCTTTACAAGGGGTTATAGCTGGGTGAGAGTATCGAGAATCAAGAATCCACTCATCACTAAGAGTGGTTTTAGATACTATTACATAACTTCTACCGAGTCACATCCTTTCATACATATTTTTTGAGGTGGGTTCGTCATTCTTCTCTTGACCTTTTTCTCGGTCCCAGTTTTTGATTACGTGATCCTCCTTGTGACAATAAAAACATTTTTTCTTCTCCTTTCCTCGAAACTTTGATCTATGATTGTTTTTTAATCTTCCACTTGCCAATAACCTCAACCTCTTTCTTTTTTGATCTGATTTAATCTCAAAGGTTTTTTTTTATCTCAGTGATCTAACACAGTAGATAAGGATAGAAGGTCCCTATCATACTTAACTATGAAGTCTTGACTTCTTTTAACTCTCAAGTAATCAATTCAATAAAATTATAGCTTGGTTATAATTGTCAAGGTTCTCTCTCGTATTTGCTAAATCCATAAAAATTCTATTGTAGTCTAAATGTTCCTTGTTTGCATTTTATACTCTAAGAACTTCTTCTTTAGGATCCCTAAGACTAGCTCGGTTGACAAGAGCTGGAGTCTCTTTGTCATATTTTAGAGGTCTCAAATTTGAATCTTCCATTAAGTTTAATACAAAAAATTCTTGATGTGCCTCCCGTGTCCAGGCTTTCGAGCAGGCATGGGCACCCATGAATATAGAGGGGAGCAAAGTTCCCAACTCCTAGTTAGAAAAAAATAACTTCTTTTCGTTATGTAAAGATTTACTTAAAGAACAGGGTTTCCAATTTCTATCATCATTCACTTGTCGAAGATCATTATATATCCACTAAATGCAGGAACATACTATAAGCTATCACTTTCATTCCTAATTTTTTTTTCTTAGTGTGCTTTAGGCCAAGTATCAGGATTATAATAAAATTTTCCAACCTTCTGTTGAACTAAGAAGGGTTTAAATTTCTTCCTCCAAAAAACAAGTCCCATTTAATTACCATCAAACTTAACTAATTTAAACTTTGCAGACATAATCGAAGCACACAGACGAAATACTAAGAAAGATCAGAAACAATCAGTTAGAGATAGTGTTGCAGAGAATCGATTGAACTTAAAACAGAACCATATGCAATATTGTTTGCTCAGTGGCTTAGATGACTGTAATAGATCATAATAGTGAAGAAGAAAAGTAAGAACAACAACAATATACTTCAATAATCCCAAGCTTTGATATTTATTTGTTAGGGTGTATGTGTGAGTGATTTTGGTCTTGCCATTGTCAAAATCATGTCACTTTCCATTCATCATGTTTGGTAAATTAAAAAAATTGATTTTAGGAAAAAGTTTAGTGCCCTTTGATAAAGTTTCTGTTTCTTGTTTCTTCGTTTCCAATAAGCATTTTACAACTACTATGTTCCTTGTTTCTTATTATTTTTTTTTGGGGAAAATTCTCAAAATTGTATATAAATTTTAAAATGAACCAAAACAAGTTTCTTCTTTCTTGTTCTCATTTCTAATTTGTTTCAAAATATAAATAAAAAGATTATTTTATCATACTTGAATTCATGGATGTTGGGTTCATGCAAGTCATTTTTCTTTATTGAAAAGAAAGAAACAAAAACAGAAACAGAAATGTTACCAAATAAGCTATCTTAAAAACTCACTTTAAATTGATTTTGAAGAGATCACTTGGATGGTAATTTTGAAAAATTAATTATACTTAAATCTCTTTATTCAAAATCATTCATTTTACTATCACTCCCAAACACAACTCTTAGAATATGTCGTGAATTTTAGGGGTTGCAAGAGGCACCGGGTGGCAGCAGTTAGGAGCATATGTGAATTTGGGATCATATTATATAGTTGGGATTCCAATGGCAGCTGTTTTGGCTTTTGTGGCACATTTGAGAGTTAAAGGGCTGTGGATTGGCTTGGTTTCAGGAGCAACTATTCAAAGCCTTCTTTTTGCTCTCATCACCATTTTCACTAATTGGCATAAACAGGTTCTTCTCTCCCTCCCTACGTCTTGCCAATTTTTCTAATAAAATAGTTTTGTTAGTTTTAATTATTTGTTTTTTTTCTTCTAATTATGATATTTTATAAACTTTAATTATCATTTCTTAGTCTAACCATCTTTCTATCAAAATTTGTCTGATGAACATACCATATGCATGTTATATTTCATTAATACTGTTCATAAGATTGACGTAGGGAGACTAAATAGAAACAATATCCAGAGTTTTAAAGTGTAATTGAATAGTTTTAAAACTTAGGGACTAAATAGACCTAATGCTCAAAGTATGAGGACTAACTTTGTAATCTAATATTTCCATGTTTAATATCACTAATTTTTAGGTTAGATCCTACTTTGTTAAAATAAATTTCGTACTTAAGTTGTTTTAATGCATAATTTTTCGTTTGTTTAAGTCTTTTAAGTTTCAAATATTTGTCTTAATCCCTTAACATAGTTTTTGGTCAAATTTAATTTCTAAAGTTTGGATTTAGTTTCTCTGTTAGGTCCATGAGGTTTCAAAATCAATACTTTTGGCCCAAAGCTTTGCATTTAGTTTTATTTGGCTTTTGAGATTTCAAAAGCGACATTTTTAGTTCCTAAAGTTTTAATTTGGCTTCTAAGTTGAGTTGACCATTAGTTGATATGATGTGACAATTAACAATGTTGATGTAAGTTTAAAGTTTAAAGGGAATGAGAGATTCTTCGTCGGTGATAGGGATATGGACTTCTCATGGGAAGTTTTCAATTGGGTTGATAATTGTTAAGGACAACAGTACACCTAGTACCCCGAGTATCTCCACAATAGTATGAAATTGTTCGCTTTGGGCATAGCCCCCACGACTTTGCTTTTGGTTCCACCCAAAAGGCCTCATACCAATGGAGATAATTGTCCTTTCTTATATACCATGGATCACCCCCTTCTCTAGCCAATGTGAGACTTTGTCTGCACTCCTTACAAACCCAACAATAATGATGGTGAATACAATGATAGTGAGATGGGATCAATAATGCACACCAACGTATTAACCTACCACATCATATTTTCGTTAAGTCCTATTACATTCAAATTGCCAACATGAGTATAGGTTGGTGTGATTATGACATCTACTCATTTCCTTAAGATTGAAAGTTCAAATCTCCCTCCCCACATTTGTTGTACTAAAAAAACCATTGTAAAACAAAATTAGGGATCAAGTAGGAACTAAATCCCTTTCACAATTACTAAAAATGTCGCTCTTTAAACTAACATCAGGAGCTAAATAAAAATTAGGTTAAAAAACACATTTGGTCATTGCACTTTCGTTAAAGTAACGATTTAGTCCATGAACTTTTAAAAGCAACAATTTGGTCTCTGTACTTTATAATTGGTTGCAATTTAATTCCTACCATTAAATATTAAGTTAGGTTTAGCATAAATGTGATGTGGTTGTCAACTAGGACCTACATATACAAAATTAAGAACGCCATCCGTACATAATTATGGCTTGGTTCAAGGTTTAGTTGGTTCGAATTGAACCAGTTTAGGTCTTAAAAAACGATAGAAATATAATCAAAAGGACAAAGCTGTTAAGGACAATAGGTACCCAATATCTCAAGTATCTCCACAATGGTTTGATGTTGTCCGCTTTAGACATAACCCTCACGGATTTGCCTCATACCAATAGAGATAATTGTTCTATCTTATATACAATAGATCACTCCCTTCCCTAGCCAAAACGAGACTTTGTTTGCATTCTTTTACAAACTCAATAATCTTCCCCTCGAACAAAGTACCACCAAGTCTTCCCTCAAATAGTCAGCCACTCGTCTACTCCGGACTAGAACGAGAGTTTGCTCTTATCCAAGGCTCTAGGTACACCATGATAGAGCACAACCATGTAATACACTATGACTACGAAAACTTGTTTGGGATTTTTGAATGAAAATAAATGAAAGAGTGCAAGTGTACACCCGTCACAAGTAGTAAAACGAAATGAATATTCCGAGTATCAATCCATAGGGACAATTGAAGTCTTTTTTATAAGAATGTTAAATGATCAGTGACTTTGTAATTGATTTTGGGGTAACAAATAATAAGGATAATGTTGGTTTGGATATTTAAAGACTCAAAACAATAAACCCAGCCCAATTACTTCAAATTAGCTAAAAATTTAACAAGTTTTCCAACTAGGTGCCAGGTGCCTCTCATAAATTTTCTTCGGTTTTACTTCGCCATCTTCTTCTGTCTAAGTGATTTTGAAGGTACAAGTTCATTCCTAATATGTCTATTAGAAAAAAGATCTTAGTTTAATAAAAACTAACCGTAACCCTAGGTCGAGGTCCTATGCCTAGGCTACCCGAACTAAATCTTTATGTCTAAAGTATTTCTCTCCAAAGTTAAATCATTAAAGTTGTAAGAATGTATCAACCCTTTCAGTATTGATGCTTGGTTAAAACATTAATTGGCAAAATCAAGTTTTAACTTATGAAAACAACTTTAAGTGATAAAAGAGGAGAAAAACACATTTTGCCTTGTTGGATTTTAAAAACTTTAGCTAACTATCCATAACCGGGCTTGGGAAAAATAAATTTAGCTCATGACGATAAAGGAAAACAGAATTGAATGTTGATGGACGTAAAAGACATGATTAAAAGATGAATATAATTAAAACAAGCTAGCAATGGTGGAGTTGTAACCTGAATGACCCTAACCCGTTCTCTTTCAAGATTGGGGAGCAATACTCAGTCAATTCCACAAGGTTGTGTGATTACAACTTCGAAGATAGAGAGAAAGAGAGAAATAAAGATGCACAAACTTGCTGGAATTTTAATTGAACAAGATTAAAGCTTACAATTGGAAAGTAACAAGTTGAAAAGCAAGAATGAATTTGAAATAAGCAAGTGTTTAAAACAATAACAACTAAAAACTAAGGGAATCAACGAGGTAAGCTGAGAAATAAGTGTCTAAAGCTGAAAGTGATCACTTGAGGATGATTATTGAAGTGAATGAATAGGGATTTCAAGGTGGTTAGGACGTTGAGAGTTTTGTGGAGAGCCATCCATTTAAAACACCTTTTAGTTGGTTTGTTGTTGAATTGACAATYTTTAATGTATGAAAGACACGTGGAAGGGCTTAGGGAGGCTTCAAATCGCACCAAAACGTGCGTTTTACATTAAGGGCATTATCAGGATTAAGGAAGGCGTCAGGCGTCTAGCTCGATATTTTTCTGCACAAAATTATAATTTCCGCTAGAAATCAACTCTAAATGATGTAAAAACATCATATATGCATGTATAACCTAATATAACTTCAAATGAAAGGTTTTGGACACTAAACCAAGTATAAAACACAGTTTCTAAGTTTAAATCGTTAGAAAATAGCACCAATTTAGCTTCTTTTTACCCTTGTAAACAGGGGAAATCAACTACATATTCCGAGGCTCATCATTTCTTTGTTCAGCACTTGAGGATTTCACTGACACAGCTAGGATTAGACCGTGACTCTAATACTACTTGTTAAGGACAACGAGTGCCCAATACCCCAAGTATCTCCACAATGGTATGATATTGTCTACTTTGGGCATAACTCTCACGGTTTTGCTTTTCTGGTTTCATCCAAAAGGCCTCATACCAATGGAGAGAATTGTCCTCTCTTATATACTATGGATCACTCTCTTCCCTAGTCAATATGGTACTTTGTTTCCATTGTTTTATAAACCGAACAGAAGCTTCCACTGAAACACACATTTCCAATCAATCACTTTGCGATTAGGGGAACAAGAATCGAAGACCACGTACGATTTTAGAGAAGGGCCTCATATTCAGCTACCATAAATTATTTTCAGTTTGGGTTGGCTAAGGCTAGTTTCTAGTTTGTTGGCTTAGGAAGATTAATTGGGTGAGTGAGAGGGATGATGGAAAGCAATACTTGGAGAGGGAATGGAGAATGATAGTGGGGAATTAGTAGAGGAAGGTTCTAAAGATGAGACCGAAGGGGAAAATGAGAAAGGATCTTAACAAAAAGGAAGAGTCTAGATGATGAGGCTTCACTGAGGTAGTAGAACAAACTATTGGCGGAGGTGCAAAAAGGTGTGAAGAGAGTGATCCATGGTGGTATATATGTGAGGACAATTATCTCTATTGGTATGAGGCTTTTCGGATAAAACCAAAGTAAAGTCATGAGGTCTATGTCCATACGACAATATAATTATACCATTGTAGAGATATTTAAGGTATCTTGGGGTACCATTGTCTTTAATAGAACTGATAGCAAAAGGAAATAAATTTTCATTAGAAATAACATGTCGAGAGATATAATACGACGACTTGGGATTGAGACAAACATAATCTTTGTGGAAGGAGTTGTGGAGCTTATGGTCATTATAGGGCTTAAGAAAGGGGAAAAAATGCACAAACAAACGATTTAAGCAAATTATAATGCGAAGATGAATTATATAAGATTTGTATAGGGAGACTGATTTTGGAGAACAATATAAGGAAGGTGATTCATATGAGGTAAGAAAGTCGTTCGAAATGCATAAGGCCAAAAAGATTAAGGTACTTTTTAGATTGAGCAAGAAGAGACAACCCAACTTCAAAGAGTATATTCGGAATTCATTACTCCAATCCGTTTGAACTTCTTTTAGAGGGGGGAATTGGTTTTCAATAAACTGTTTACATTGAAGAAAATGAAAGCATCGGAGTATCATGCTTACTTTGCATAAGATATAACTTACGGAAAAAAAATTAGATCAATCGTTCATCCTGTAAGTTGTTCAACAGAAACTATTTGATTTTCTCATTACTAATTGTCAAGACAGCTATGAAAGTGATTTAAGGAATGCATAGCAAGATTGATTGAGTGAATTGGGGGTCATTACTACACTGCTTAATTGTTGGGATAATTTCCTATTGTACAGATACTTTCCTTTATCTACATTATTTCCTTTGATGTAAATGTTTTACTTAAGTCAATACAACCCAATGGCTCAATATTCTGAGCTTTACATCTGTAATCAATTCTCTCAAGTTTTTCACTTGGTATTAGAGCAGGATTCATAGCTCACCATGATAAGCCAAGGCTCTACCTCCAATACAAATGTTTCTGTTAACCAATCTGCAACAGGTGCTGCAGTAATGATTGCAACTCCTTTCGGCAATCCCCTCAATGCAGTTCTCACGGTCAAGCTTGATGAAAAGAATTACCTCCTATGAAAATCAATGGTGTTGGCAGTACTAAGAGGACAAAAACTAGAAGGATACATCCTGGGAACGATAGTGGCACCCTCACAGACGATACAAGATGTAGAAACTGGACATCCAAGTCCAAATCCATCTTATGAAAGTTGGGTAACAACAGATCAGTCACTACTAGCATGGCTATATGGCTCAATGACTCCAATGATAGCTTGTGATGTATTGAGCTTAGAAACCTCAAGAGATGTCTGAAAGGCCTTAGAAAATCAGGCTCGTGTGAATCAACTAAAAGCGAGTCTACAAACAAGAAGAAAAAATCAACTCAAGATGAGTGAATATCTTTCAACAATGAAACAACTTGCTGATTATTTAACTCTTGCAGGAGAAGCGGTCGGTGAAAGATCCTTAATTTCTAGTGTACTCACAGGACTTGATGTTGAGTATCTACCAGTAGCATGTCAGATAAATGCCAATAAGGGAGAAATGTTTTGGCAGAGCTTCACGCAACTCTCATCACATTTGAGAACACATTGATCCATCTCAATAGTATTGACAATATTATAGATCCATCAATAAATCCATCAGCAAACTATGCCTATAATAAAGGTACACACAAAAACTAGAAACCACAATATCAAAATCAATGGAGAGGACAAGGTGGAAATACAAGAGGAAGAAGTCGGGGAGGAAGATCTCAAGGCCAAAGAAATAGTGGACCAAGACTCACATGTCAAGTATGTGGAAAGGTTGGTCATGTTACATATCAATGCTATCACAGATACAACAAAGCTTACATGGGAGGCGCACCACAAAGAGGTGGAAGTGAGACCTCTTTCTGACCCGAGTTGGCTAATGGACAGCGGTGCTACAAATCACACAACAAATGATGGTGCCAATCTTGGTCAGAAAACTGAATACAATGGAAGTGAGACCTTGACAATAGGTAATGGATCTAAATTGGCTATTGCTCACATTAGATCCTCTGTTATTAGATCTTCGAAGCATGATAACTTGCCTGTTTACTTGAACAATATATTACATGAGCCAAGAATCAAAAGAAACTTACTTAGTATATCACAATTAACTGTTGATAACCAAGCAAGCTATTGTTGAATTTGATTCTAATTGCTGTTATGTAAAGGACAAGGAATCAGAGAGAACATTATTGGAAGGGAGGCTTAACCGAGGCTTGTACCAGTTGAATCTTCCCCAACCTAAAAGTTCAGAACCATCATTCAATAAAAGAAGTCAACAACCTACTGTCCAAGTTGCTAACCAGTGTCAATTTCAATCTTTTAGTCCAAAAGTCCATGTAGCTCAAAGCTGTAAGTCTTTGAATACCTTGTGGCATCAAAGATTGGGTCATCTACCAAAAAGAGTCTTGAGTATTGTTTTAAATTCTTGCAATGTCAAAGTTCCAACAAATGATGATATAGATTTTTGTGATGCCTGTCAATATGGCAAATCTCATTCTTTTCCTTTCACCAATTCTAAATCCAAAACTGAAACACCACTTGAACTCATACATTGTGACTTGTGGGGGCCTTCTCCAATTCCATCAACTAATGGTTACAAATATTATGCCAGTTTTGATGACAACCATACTCGTTTAACCTCCATTTTTCCCTTGAAAAAAAATCTGATACTTTTTCTGCTTTTCTTCAATACCAAAAGCTTGCTGAAAATAAATTTGAGAGAAAAATAAAAATAGTTCAATCTGATTGGGGTGGAGAGTTTAGAGTGTTTGTTCCATATCTAAAAGAAAGAGGGATAGAGTTTAGGCATCCATGTCCCCACACTAGTGAACAAAATGGCATAGTTGAGAGAAAGCATAGACATATAGTAGAAATGGGATTAACCTTGTTGGCTCAAGCCTCAATGCCTCTTCAATATTGGTGGGATGCCTTTTATTCAGCTGTTTACCTTATAAATCGATTGCCTACACCAGTGTTGAATAATCTCTCTCGTTGGGAAATGACCTACCATCAAACACCTGACTATAATTTCCTTAAAGTATTTGGTAGTGCTTGTTTTCCATGTCTTCGCCCTTATCAATCTCATAAGTTCCAATATCACTCAACAAAGTGTGTCTTCTTAGGCTATAGTGAATCCCACAAAGGCTACAAATATTTGAGTTCAAGTGGAAGAGTCTATATCTCTAGAAGTGTGGTGTTCAATGAAAGTGAGTTCCCCTTCAAAGATGGTTTCCCAAAAGCAAGTCCTACGAACCAAGCTTKTTATGAAACTATAATAACTTKGATYAATCCTTCWGTTGATAAATCTTCAAATAGTCCAAGTCCTAGTCCTTYAACCAATAGTTCTAATTTAAATYCCWTGCAAAGTCCAACTGGTACAAACCAAGGTTCTGAAAATCAACCACAACTGTTCTCATAGCAAGGTATTAGTGATAATTATGTTGAACAACAAGCAGACCATGATCAGCTCACAAATGAGCAAGTTGCAGTAACTATTGAACAAGAAACTCATTCTACTAATGCAAATGAAACCTCCTCCACAGTACAAGAAGCAACTCAAACTTTGGTTTCTTCACATCCAATGCAGACACGTGCTAAGAGCGGCATAGTTAAACCAAAGATTTGGAACTTCATGTCACAAGTTTCCAATTTGCCTCACAATAACTGCATTAGTTTTTCAGAACCAAAGAATGTCAATGAGACACTGACAGTAGCTGAATGGAAACAAGCGATGAGTGAGGAGATGGAGGCTCTACACAAAAACTCCACTTGGACACTTGTTCCATACAAAGAATCGTACAATCTAGTCGGAAATAAGTGGGTATTTCACTTGAAATATAACCCAGATGGCAACATTCAGAGATATAAAACAAGATTGGTTGCTAAGGGCTTCCACCAAACACCAGGTATAGACTTCACTGAAATGTTTAGTCCTGTAGTTAAAGCTTCGACTATACGTATTATACTCACAGTGGCAGTGACAAATGATTGGTGTATACGCCAATTAGATATAAATAATTCTTTTCTCAATGGTCAATTAGAAGAAGTGGTTTACATGTCACAACCGGAAGGGTTCATTGATAAAAAAACATCCTGATCATGTATGCAAGTTGACCAATGCATTATATGGACTCAAACAAGCACCAAGGGCATGATACGATAAACTTAAAGGTGCTTTTATTGATTGGGGAATCATGAACTCAAAAGCTGACACATATATGTTTTATTTTAGATCGGGTACCACACTTTTATTCCTTCTAATCTATGTTGATGACATAGTGGTGACAGGTAATGATATGCAAGTGATTAAACGCTTCATTAGTGAGTTGAATAAGCAGTTTGCATTGAAAGATATTGGTGATCTAAATTTCTTCCTTGGTATTGAGGTTTATCGAGACAAGAGTGGTATCTATCTTAACCAAGGAAAGTACATTACTGATTTGTTACTTAAGTTGCAGCTACAACATTTAAAGTCTTGCCCAACACCTGCAGTTTCTGGTAAAGCTCTTTCAATTCATGATGGTGATCCTCTTAAAAATCCAACTGAATATAGAAGCCTTATTGGAGCTCTCCAATATCTCACCAACACAAGACCTGAAATTTCTTTCATAGTAAATTGGTTGAGTCAATTTTTGCAAAACCCAACAACCACACACTGGCAGGCAGCAAAAAGAGTATTAAGATAATTGAAACGTACTCTTCACCATGCTCTACTTATTCAACCTTCAAATAATTTAAGCTTGATAGGATATTGCAATGCGGATTGGGCTTGTTGTCCGGATGATAGAAAATCAGTGGCAGCATATTGTGTGTTCTTTGGCAATACACTTGTTTCTTGGACATCTAGAAAACAACATGTCGTTGCAAGATCGAGTACGGAGTCGGAATATAGAGCTCTTGCCCTTGTTGCATCAGAAATCAGTTGGCTTGAATCCCTTCTAAAAGAAATTCAGATTCCTCTATCCAAAACTTCCTTAGTTTGGTGTGACAATACTAACACTCTATCTTGGGCCGCCAATCCAGTTTTCCACTCTCGAAGTAAGCATATTGAGCTTGACATTCACTTTATACGTGACAAAGTACTTGCTAAACAATTAGATGTTCGATACATACCCTCCAGTGATCAATTAGTAGATTGTTTAACCAAAGCACTCCCCGAATCAAAGTTCGTGGAACTTAGAACCAAACTCGGTGTGGTTTCCTTCCCCACTTGTTCGAGGGGGAATGTCAAGACAGCTATGTAAGTGATTTAAGGAATGCACAACAAGATTGATTGAGTGAATTGGGGGTCATTACTGCACTGCTTAGTTGTTGGGATAATTTCCTATCGTACAGATACTTTCCTTTATCTATATTATTTCCTTTGATGTAAATGTTCTACTTAAGTCAATACAATCCAATGGCTCAATATTCTGAGCTTTACATCTGTCATCGATTCTCTCAAGTTTTTCACTCCAAGTAAATAAAAATAACAAAAGAATAAGAGATAGGGATAGAAAAACTTAAACCATATGAATTATACTTGTTCGCCCAAATCTTGTAACTACGTCCAGTCTTGTGCAAAAACAGGTTCATAGTTGGGAATATTACAATAGAGATCTCACTCAAAATATCACTATACAATGATTATCTTGCTTCTAAGTACCTTAACAATGGGATACCTAGGATTACACAATTGAAAACAGACTCATTAAACTCATAGGATACAGACTAATTTTTACACACTACCACAACTACTCAAATCTTTTTTATTTAGATTCTGTACAAGTGAATACAAGCCCCAAACCACCTATTTATAGAAACTTCTAAGCCTAATACAAAGCCTAAACGAAAAAAAAACTTGAAAAACGAACTTTTGGGTAGATTCGATCATGATTCCATCGTTATGTAATACGAACTTCTAACCATCATGATTCCATCCTTAAATTTTCTTCCCTATGAGTTCAAGTCTCGATAAGAATGCTAGTTCTTACTGTTCATATGTTGTGATATAAATATACCACACCAATTCATTATGTATGGATGATGAGTTCCAAAGCCAAAGATCGTGGTTCTCGAGCGAGAAATTGAAAAGATTCTGGAGTATCATCACGTTTAGGTATTGTTCCTCCAATGATCATAGTACCCCGCTCCTTTTTAGGTACATTCTTAGCCGTCCTCCGAGAGTTAAAACACCCCACAGATTCGATCGTTCAGTCTTTTAGACCCTTAGTTTCAATTGATCCTTTACTCCGATAACATCTAGGGTTCTTTGAACAATGTAATATCTCAACCGGGTAAATCTAACTCTTCCCTCTCTTACTATAATTATAAAATGTTCTTGTAAATCATAGCCAATACCAAGTATACAAGTAGTGATTTTGTTGGGATAAGTTTCGAGTTACACTAATAGAAACAAATGGAAAAGACTTGATACATCTGAAAGAATAAATCGAAAAGCAGTAAATGATGCTGAATAAGAAGGCACAAAAGGTAAAGCAGGGATGTTAGTAAAATAGTGAAATAGTTTTAATATAAAAGGTTGTCGTAGTATAGATTTGAGGTAAAAATTTTCCTAAATATTGTAATTTATGAGCCCTAACTTTATTTAGGCAAATCAAATTAAAATGACTTGTACCCAAAATTTTCCCTAATGTTTTTGTACCCAAAAGTTTTTGTTTTTCTTGTTTTAATGGCTAAATGAATTCATATGGATCATGCATGCAGGCATTAATAGCAAGGGAAAGGGTACTCGAAGGAAATACCTGAAATCTCTACAACGTATGATTTGATCGGATTGGTCAAAGTACTTTGCGATGAAGTATCTTAATTTTGTAAATATACAATTAAATCGTTGTTTTTTTAACATTATAAATGTAATTAAACCCTTCGAGAAATTATTTAAAATCTTTTATCTTTTGAAATGATAATAATTTAAAATGAATATAATTAAATTTTCCTATTTAGACATGTACCATAAAGAAAAATA